AATAAGACATCTCCGAAAATAAGACCTACTTACAGGTTTCCTTCTGAGTGAAATATAAGACATCCCCCTGAAAATAAGCGCGCCCCACCCCCCCTGGCTAAACATGAGAGATTTGGTCCACTGATTCTGAAAGAAATGGAGTCACAAGAAATTCACCAGGAAATTCAGGAATTGGATTGTTGTGATAATGTTCCAGAAGATGATGACATGATTGTCATTGAATAAATGAGTAAATTCTTGATACTGTAGGATTCACAGTTTGTCTGGTTTGTGTTGACAACTACCGTACTACCGTACCGTATACAGGTAATAAATTTCCTTTATTTTCATTTAACAATAAATGTGTACCATATTCTTCTTCATGGAAAAATAAGACATCCCCTGAAAATAAGACCTAGCGCATCTTTAGGAGCAAAAATTAATATAAGACACTGTCTTATTTTCGGGGAAACAGGGTAGAACTGAAGTTCCTTGGGGGTAAAATTTCACTTTTTAAAATTAATCTATAGCCCTGACCGGTTTGGCTCAGTGGATAGAGCGCCGGCCTGCGGACACATCCCCATGGGAGGTATGCAGGAGGCAGCTGATCGATGTTTCTCTCTCGTCAATGTTTCTGATTCTCTATCCCTCTCCTTTCCTCTCTGTAAAAAAAAAAAAAAAAAAAAAAAAAAAAAAAAAAAAAAAAAAAATCAATAATATATATATATTTTAAAGATTAATCTATAGTGTGTCTAACATAGTACAATTAATAAAGTATAACTCATTATCTGACTAGTTGCCAATTCATTAGGCTACCTTTTAAAGATTTTAAGAATTAAATAAAATAAACAATATAGAAATAGTTATTACTGACTAAAGCTGGAATTAAAGCATCTCTTTCCAAGCCCTCTGATAGAATAATGAAACTCTGATTTATTCATATTCATATTCATATCCATTCCTTCACTCAACAAACAATTATTTGGCATTTATCATGTGCCAGGAACTTGGAAGAAGACTAGGAGCTCACAGTCTAACAATAAAGATTGAGTCAACAATCCAGTCAAAGGCATGTGAAAGACACTCAAGTCAGTTGTCCTTTAGTATGTCCCACTTCATTCAGGACTTTTCTGATTGTTTCCTTGTCGTGTCATTTGTTTCCTATCTGCTCCTTCCTCCTTCCTCCCTTTCATTTTCTGTAAGCTAGAATGTTAGAGCTCAAGTCTTAGATTCAGAATCAACTGTTTTGGCAAGAATATTTCAAAGTGGTGCTATATCTTTCGCATTATATCACAGTAGGAGGCACATAATGTCTGGTTATTCAATTTTTAATTATGTTCAGGTGGTGGCACCCTAAACCCTTTCATCAATTCTTCTCATATTACTAATATTACTGGTAATCATTGCCTGAATCAATTATTTTACTAGAGAGTTTTTAAGTTCTATCATTCTATCTACATTAGGAAGGGGAATTCTTGGAATCCTTGAATAGAGAAGGACTTCCCCTCATCAACAAAAACTATTTGGTTATTCTGAAATATAGTCCACACTGGCCAGGTAGAATAAATGCTTATTTTTTCATTAACTACCAATTTTCAGAGGAAGGAGCTGGTGTCCTAGTATCTCCAAGGATAGCCAATAATTATATTTTTGTTTTGTTTTATATTTTTGGTTGCTTGCTCTCTCTTATCTCTATGAACTCAGATTTTATAAATTCAGTGGGTTTCAATCCACTGCATTCTTTTTTGTTAAAATATTTTTATTGATTTCAGAGAGGAAGGGAGAGGGATAGAGAGATAGAAACATCAATGATGAGAATCATTGATCGGCTGCCCACTGGGGATTGAGCCCATAACCCAGGCATGTGCCCTTGACCAGAATCAAACCCAGGACCCTGCCGAAACAGGTTTGGCTCAGTGGTAGAGCATCGGTCTGCGGACTGAGAGGTCCCAGGTTCGATTCCGGTCAAGGGCATGTACATTGGTTGCGGGCACATCCCCAGTTGGGGGTGTGCAGGAGGCAGCTGATGGATGTTTCTCTCTCATTGACATTTCTATCTCTCTATCTCTCTCCCTTCCTCTCTGTAAAAAATCAATAAAATATATTTAAAAAACAACAACAACAACAACAAAAACCCAGGACCCTTCAGTCCGCAGGCCAATGCTCTATCCACTGAGTCAAACCAGGTAGGGCTGCAGTCATTCTTGTTGATGTTAGAATTCGTTACTTTGGTTGGTGGTCCCTTCAAGCTGACTACCATGCCCTTCCACATGATCCTATTTGTTTGACTTTCATATCTTGGAATTAGGAGTTTCTTTAAAGAGCCTGGAAACCTTTCATGAGGAAATAGTATTTAGAAACACTAATCTGGGGGCTAGAGGTATTTATTGCTCCTGGGTTTCACTTATTTCTAGGTCTTTTCAGGGGAAAAAGTTAATAACTACATATTTAAGGAATAAAATGTCAACTAATTCAGACATTTGCATTTAAAATGTAACATTATACATTCATTTGTTTTTTCTCTTACACTGAAGGTTTTATTCTGACATAAAGTTGACCCTTGAACAACATGGATTTGAATTGTGTGGATCACTTATTGCAATTTTTTTCAATACAGTACATGTGCCCAGACAATGTGGCTCACTGGTTGAGCACTGACCCATGCACCAAGAGGTCACAGGTTTGATTCCTGGTCAGGGCACATGCCTGGGTTGCAGGCTAGATCCCAAGTAGGGGGTATGCGGGAGGCAGTCAATCAATGTTTTTCTCTCTCTTGTCAATGTTTCTATCTCTCTTCCCCTCTTTCTAAAAATCAATAAAAACACATTTCAAAAAAATAAATACAGTACATGTATTTTCTCTTCCCTGTGATTTGTTCATAATAACATCTTTTCTCTATCCTTTCATTGTAAGAATACAGTATATATTACATATAACATACAAAATACGTATTAATCTATTTTTCATGTTATTGGTATGTCATCTGGTCAATATTAGGTTATTAGTTAAGTGCTTGGGGGAGTAAAAAGTTATACGTGGATTTTCAACTGTGTGTGGTAGGGGTGTCGAACTCAATCAGAGAAGGGGGCCAAAATCTAAAATCCAGCCTAAATCGAGGGCCAAATGGTTTACTGAACAGTCATAAACTGTCATTGTGATGGAAATGCAGCGGAGTGCAGTGATGACAGCGCAGTGCGGGCCACATTGCAAGGCCTGGCGGGACGGATTTGGCCCGTGGGCCTTGTGCTTGACACATGTGGAATCAGTACCCCTAACCCACACATTGTTAAAGGGTCAACTGTACTTATTTGTTATCTCGCAATTACAATGCTAACAAAACCACTGAATAAAGTTTGTAATTTCTTTGTAGTTCTTTTTGTCCTTAAAATATAATCCACTAGGGGTATTTAGTTCAAATATGGGGTTCTGAAGTCACTCTAATTTTTTTCTAAGTAATTATGTCATAATATATTTAATTATGTACATGTATTTCATCTAATTTTCAAATTCTAGCTTTTCTTTTCTTTTTAAATTTTATTCTTTGTCCATGTTCCTAGAGAGTGTTAATATTTTACTTCTCGATTTTTATAAAAGTGCTTTATAAAATAGGAAAATTAACCCTCTTTCTATTATCTAGCTGTAAACATTTCTTCTTAGTCAGTGCCTTTTCACTTTGTGGTTTTTTTTAAACCAAGAAACACTTTTTTTTTTTTAAAGTTTCATGTAATTTAATTAACTGCTTTTGGGTTTTGAGTCATGGTTAGGAAAAGTTCCCCTTTCCCAGACTACAAAGAAATCCATACAAGTTTTCTCCTGGTACTTGTATAGTTTTATTTTTACATTTAAATTCCTAATATATTTGGAATTTATCCTGCATATGGCATAAGGAAGAGATCAATTTTGCATTTTTCCAAATGGCTACCAGTTAGCCAACATCATTTATTTAAAAATCTATTAAAATAACTGATTTGGAATTTTCATCTTTATCGTATCCTAAATTTCATATACACTGGGTCTCATTTTGGACTTTCTCATCTGTTCCTTTGGTCTACCTGATTGTTTATGCAGCAACACCAATACCACTCTGTTTTAAGTGTTCAGGCTTTAATGTCTAAATATCAGGTAGAGCTAGCTCCCCGCATCTCTCCCACCCAGTATGGTTTTTCTTTGCCAGGGTTTTTCCCAGTTATTCTTCCTTGTATATTTTCCCACAAAACCCTATAATCAACTTGTCTGACCTCAGAAGAGGGAAAAAAAAAAGAAAAGAAATCAGTTTATATTTGTTTAGGAATCATTTTAAATTTATAGATTAATTTATGGAGAAGTGAAAATCTGAAGTTTTATCTCCTTGTCTAAGATCAGGACATATATTTCCATTTGTTCAAGTCTATTTTTATGCCTTTCAGGAGTGTTTAAATGTTTTGTTTATATGAGTTTTGCTCGTTTCTTGTTATTTTATTCCAAAGAATTTATATTATTTTATTGCTATTTTTGTTGTTAATTTCACATGAGAATATTTTATCTATTGATTTTTAGAGATAGTGGAAGGGAGGGGAAGAGACAGACAGACAGAGAGAAACACCAATGTGAGAGAGACACATTGATTGGTTGCCTCCCACACAAGCCAACCAAGACTAGGGATTGAGCCTACAACCAAGGTACCTACCCTTGACCAGAACCAAACCCTTAACCCTTCAATTCCCAGGTCAATGCTCTAATCACTGAGCAAAACCAGCTAAGGCAGTTTGCTGCTTTTTTTTTTTTTTTTAGTTTGTTGCTATTTTTATGGGGGTCTTCTGGTAAACCTTATGACTGTGTACTATTTGTACATAAGAAGGTTACTGATTTCTCAGGCTACCTTTTAACCTATCTAAAAGCAAATAGTCATAGTCTCTTAAAAGCAATATTTTCGTTTTCATATAATTTTGTTTGGTTGAAGGAACAGCAGTTAAGGCTTTCTTAATGAATGTGTTCCCACTGTGGGAATTACCTATGTATCACAAGGACAAACAAAAACTCACCTTTGTATATTCATCTTTGGCCTTGATGAGCATTTGTAAGATATCTACTTCCTTCCCCTCTCCTGAATTGAGGATCATTGGGGATATTCCTGCTCCAGCTTCTTGATGGGCTTTCAATTGTTCATACTGAGTTAGGCTAGAAAAGTAGAGGGGAAGAGCCACACAAGGAAAAACAATTCAACACATATGATTTTTGAAACCATCCAATTCTCACCCAGTTGCTTTTATCCTGTTATAATCATCCCATTAGTATAAGACTAATATGCAAATGAACCAAATGGTATAACGACCAGTCACTATGACGTGCACTGACACCAGAGGCAGACACTCAATGCAGGAGCTGGCTCCGGTGGTCAGTGCGCTCCCACAGGAGGAGCGCCGCTCAGCCAGAAGCTGGGTTCATGGCTGGTGAACGCAGTGGTGGTGGTAGGAGCCTCTCCTGCCTCTACGGCAGCACTAAGGAGAGCGGGCCTAAGCCATCAGTTGGACATTACCCAAGGGCTCCCCAACTGCAAGAAGGCACAGGCCAGGCTGAGGGACGCCCCTCCTCCCCCACCTTCCCCACCCCATGTACGAATTTTGTGCACTGGGCTCTAGTATTAAAAATAAGACTGCTTAAGAATTTAAAGAAGGAAAATGAGATTTGAGGCAGGTCCTGAGTTCACTGACTAGATATATGAATCTAGAGTAGAGGTGGGCAAACTCCAATCTGCAGACCAAATCCTGCCCACTGCTGGTTTTGTGGCGTTACAAACAGCCCCTGTTCTTAGACTGCTGCCTCAGATTGCCTGCAGAGTTGGGTAGCTGTGACAGAGAAAGTGTGACCTTGAAAAAAAATATTATCTTTGCCAACTCCTCATTTAGAGCATTTGAAAGATTCATTAATTGCTGAGGAATCCTGATTTTAGAGTTCTCAAAAACTGAGCAAACTGTATGGCAAGTCAGATTTCCCCCATCCTCCAAAGTGCCTTAAAGTCAAAGCGAGGTTAATCCCAGGTACTCAAATCATATGGTTCTCTGGAAGTTTGGAAACAGTGAAGATTCCCTTCTAGGAGAGGGGGATATAAAAAACAGCAATAAGCCATGTCTTCTGTTTTACTGAAAACAATACAGAAGGGAGACCATATGCTTTATATGTGCTAGGTGGCATTGATAAAAACACTTGTTCCTTTTTGTGCTTTGACTCACAGCTCAAATTCTTTTATAATTGCCATGAAGTTGGTCAAAAAGGTCTGAGAATGAATTGAGATGTTTAATTCTAGCTGAGGAAGGACTGTAATCCATACACATCAGCTGCTATGTGTATGGATTCCAGCCCTTCCTCAGTTAGAATTGCTAGTTAACAATCAATTTCCTGCCCCAGCTGTTAAGTTATTAGTGCAGATTGCTGGCAATTTTAACATGGCCTTTGGCTGAGCTGCAGGGTAATTTTTAATCTATATGAAATCCTGCTATTATTATCCATTGCACAGCGGACAATAACATGAATGTTCTAAGAACTAGTTGTTACAGGATAAATACTAGTTTGAACACAATCACAATCTGAAACCTGAGCTAGTTATCTATAATTAGCTATCACCACAAGCTAGATTTTCAGAAATCAATTATATTTATATAAAAACTAGAGGCCTGGTGCATGAAATTTGTGCACAGGGGTCCCTCAGGGGTCCCTCAGCCCAACCTACAATCCAGGAGCTCTCAGGGGATGTTCTACTGATGGCTTAGGCCCACTCCCCGTGGTTCTCTGCTCTCTGCGGGCCTGGAGGTTTCGCTGCAGCCATGCCCTGCTCTCCGCTCTCTGCCTGCCTCCGCCATGCGCCACACACCATGCGAAGGAAGCCCCAATGCCCTGCAGTGTGCTCTGTCTGCCAGGCCTGGGGGCTTTGCCCACACCTACACACTAAGGAAGCCCCCATGCCCTGTTGTCCTGGCTCTGTTTGAGGGCCTGAGGGTGTTCCCACCGCCACCTTGTTAAGGAAGCCCCCAAGCCCTGCTGTCTGGACTCTGTCTGCCATGTCTGGGGACTTCCCCGCCACTGCCATGCTAAGGAAGGCCCCAAGCCCTGCTGTCTGGGTTCTGTTTGCTGGCCTGGGGCTTTCCTGCTGCCACTGCGCTAAGGAAGCCTCCATGCCCTGCTGTCTGAGCTCTGTTTGCTGGACTTGGGGCTTCCCTGCTGCCACCTCACTAAGGAAGTCTCCATGCCCTGCTGTCCAGGCTCTGTCTGCGGTGTATGGGGGCGGATCAAGCCTCACTGCTTGGTCCCACCCAACCCCGATGGGGTCTGACAGGCCCAGACACTGCAACAATGGTGGAGTGCGGAGGCTGGATCCACCCCCTCCTGAGGCAGATCCAGCCTCACTGCTTTGGGGACAGGCCAGACATTCCAGTAGCCAGAGGGGCTGAGGAGACTGGGCGCTGCCATCTTGTGGCTATGGGGGGGGGGCACCATTTTTGTCGTGGAGTGATGGTTAATTTGCATATTACTCTATTATTAAATAGGATAGTCCCAAAGTTTCATTTTTGAGAATCACTTTTTAGCAATTTCATTGCCCAAAATTTAAAATTGGAAATGGTTCTTTTGCATATAGAGCTGCTTTGTCAACTCATGTGGGCAGCAGCTACACTATGTGTTCAGCTGAGTCCAGTCACAACCTGAGATACAGCACAAGTAGGAAATATGTCATTTTCTCTAAGCAGGCGGTCGCCAAACTTTCAGACCTCAAGGACCACCAGTGGTCCGTGGACCACTGGTTGGCAACTGCTTGTCTAAACCATTCCCATAAACAGCAGGGAAGTCACTGCCTCACAGCACAAGCCCTGGGCTCAAGAACTGCTCAAAGATGGGAGAAATCCCAAGGTAGCATGAGATTAGAAGAAAACAAGATGAGAGAGAGAGAGAGAGACCATCCTAAGTACTCCCGGTGTTGGAGGGTGGGGAAACCCTGACCCTCTACAACTATGGGTATGCACTTAAAAAGGAAAGCATTGAGGCAGGAAGAAAATTAAAGATCTGAGAGAATCTGGAGCAGCCTTTCAGAATGTCTCTGAACATTCTTTCTACTACTAGGTATACTGATAACTTTCAAAGAAAAAGCTGCTAAATGACAAATAAGAAAGATATTAAGGAAAATTGCCATCTGGAGTAATTCATATTACAGGTATTTCACACATGCAGAAAACAATGAGGTGAAGCCATTCCACATGACAAACGTTACCTAGTGAAAATGTTGTATTTATGTCTCTTTTTCACTTTTAAAGTAATAGTAAATGTTTTTCCTAACATCTTGAAAAGAATTGCTGTAAGAGATATATTCTGCTAAGATTATGATATAGTTACACAAAATGTAGTTACACATTTTTCTGACTGAAAAATACTACGCAGTCTTTCAGCACTTACTTTCTCATAAGTTCTGCAATTCTTTGGCATTCTTCCTTATCATAAAACCAAATTCCATAAATGGACACTGCAAAAATACATCAAACAAATTATGAGCATCTTCAAAACTACAAAATGGAAAGTCCCTCTCCATCTTGAAAGAAACACACAACTATTGAATAAATGAAACCAATAATTGCAATTAGAGCTTGAAAACCTAGCACTAGAATTTTTTTAATTTATTATTTTTCTTTGTTGATTAAGGTATTACATATGTGTCTTCATTCCTCCATTAGAATTTTTAAGCCCACAGAGAAATCTATAGTGGTCTTATGCACACATGCATGTATGCACGTGCACACACACATATACACACAGGCACTCCCCCCCCTCCCAATATAAGTCTGTTGTCCTTAAAAATATAGCACTGGAAAATAATAAGCATTTGGTAAATGTTTCTTAACACATGACTAGAGATTGAAAATGAAATTGGAATTCTAAACTCCTGGCTTTGAAACATGTTTCCATATTCCATTTGCACATTTCACACACATATTTCATCTTTATTTTCAAATATTCAGACACCTGATGCACAAATTAGGCCTAGGAACCCCTCTTCGTTCTCCTTCTCCCAGGTAAACATTAAGAATTGGCTTTTTAAGATGTAAGTTACTAGGATAGAGTGAGAAAAATTAGATTCCATAATAAATCTCTGACTTCAAAATGTCTGTACAGAAAATGTCTGTACAGAAAATGTTGATAGCTTAAAAACAACTGTGACTATCATTTAGTAATGAATGAATAATTGGTATTGATCAATATAACAATTTTCCAATAAATTATATATCTTAGTATGCGTCTATCTATATCATTTTTATAGCCAAAGCTAAATAGTTCCAAGCAATGTATAAATACCTAATTGAGGACCTGATGGTATCACTCATGTACATTTTTAAATCTTTGAAAATAGTAGTAATGTTATAAGGCAAGGAAAACCATATTTTTAAAAGGGAAAACATTTATAATTTACACTTTCAAAATATTTAATTATATGAATATTATTTGGTCATTAAAACATGTGATGTTTTATTATTATTGTTGCTGATTTCAGAGAGAAAAAGTGAGAGAGAAATATCAATGATTAGAAAGAAACATTGATTGGCTGCATTCTGCACACCCCACAGTGGGGATCGAGCCTGCAACCCGGGCATGTGCCCTGACTGGGAATCCAACTGTGATCTCCTGGTTCATAGGCTGACACTCAACCACTGAGTCACTCCAGCCAGGCTGTGATGTTTTACTCGTAACTACGAAATTTCCCCCCACTCACCAGACCAATGCCTTAGTGTAGATATCTGCTTCTTGTCAATACTGATTTAGATATCAGTAGGAATAGGAAATGTCTTTTTAGTATAATTTGAAGCAGGCATATTAAAAGGAACCTTATAAATCTGAATTACTAACTTGCCAAAAGGTGGCAACGGGCTTTTCCCTTTTTGTATGATTAGTGTACCCGGAATCTTTATCTTACCTACCTACATGTATGAAGGGGTAAAAGTGGAAGAAACCAGCTTTTCCTTGAACAGGGCCATTTTATCTGCTTAGAAATACGTATCATATCTTGCCTTTAATACAATGACAAGCTTTTGAAAAAGGACATTGGAGTTCTGAATCTAATGGGCTGGAACAGCCTTTAGGTCAAAAGGAATTCTTTCATCTTAAGATCATTAAATGTATATCTTGAAACTTTTATTCAAGGATGCTTCCAGTCCATCAACATTGTTTTACCCTGATTGCCTACCAGTATTTCCCAAACTTTTGACATATGTGTACCCCTTCTATAATTTTTGTAACACTGAGTACCCCTCATACTCATGAGAACATAGAATTCGGCGCAGCTAAGCACGGTGCAGTGCATATCCCCACCAAACTCCGGTGTAATGCGTACCCCCAGCAAACTCTTCCATTACCCCCGGGGGTATGCGTACCACACTTTGGGAAACACTGGACAGATTCCTACATACTAACCCACCTAGTTTCATGTTCTTGTAAATAAGTACATGGCGTTTGACTATTTAATAGATTTAAGTGTTTTGGTGGTCTTAATTTTAGTTACAAAACTAGGAACCCGGTCTATTTTTTGGTTACCCATTTTTTTCCTTGGAGACAGAGTCTTCCAAAACTCTCAAGGAGAAAAGGGGTAGCATGGGAAACAAATAGCACACAAGGCCCTACGGCAGAGCAAAAACAGCCATTTGGTCTCATCAGTAGGACATATTAGTAGAAATATTTTGGGTAACATTTTTTTAATGTTACACATTGTGGCATTTGACATAAGGAACTAGATTTTCATGAGGGTAGGATGCCAAGTAAACGGTTGATACAAACGGAAACACAATTTGACAACACCATTACCGTGAAGTAACTGAAATGCAAAATTAGGGAAGGAAAATGCTACAGAAACATCTTTCAGATGTCAAAGAATAAAGGGAGACTGGGTTTGAAAGTGATTATACAAGACATTGTGGAGATTATAACCATTTATCTATAAAGCAACTTGACTTTAAGATTAAAATGGACCATTTGAAATAGCTCTTTTCATTCTAGTTAATATTTAGTTTGACCACAAAATTTAAAAAGCCAAGGGGTGGGAACAGATTTACCAACAGTCCTGGCAACGGAAAGGTAGCACCGAGATAAAATGTAGAACTGCGCCTAATTTTTTTCTCCCTAAAATAGTTGTGCCACTTGAGCTGCATTCCACTGGGAAAGGGGCAGCGTGAATTACATTAGAGTGCACATTCCAACTCAAGTTTTCTGTTTCTTGGGCCCGAGGTCCACCGACCCCTGGACAAACCTATCACTCTCCTACACAAGAGCGTGTATCAGAGCAGCTCGTGGTGACAAATACAAACCAGAGATCATCATGCCTCGGGAGGCGATGAGCTGCCAGGCTGACAGAAACCATTGACCTCACATTTCAATCCCAGTTTTCCTGTAAAGCCACTGGGGGAGAGGCCACCTTACGCAGACAGTGAGCACAGCAGGAAGGAAAGAAAAAGACAAGGTTGAGAAGAAGCACAAAAGAGATGTGGCTTTTAGGATTCTAAAACTTAAAGTCATTCCTGTCAGCCTAAATTAGCAGTGATATGACACGGCCGCATTAACTTGTGCAGCTCAGATGTGACTGTGAGAATGATTTCTAGGCTTTAAAAAATTACAAGGAGAAAAGCTCACAAGCAGGATATTTGCCTATTTTAAAATTTGACCTATTAGTTCGCATCTGGATATTCACCATGCTTCGAGCCTTTGTCCAGCCTGCTCTGCCTGCATACCAGCCGCTTCCCAGTCATCCGTCTGCTGAAACAGAGGTGAAGTTTAAGGGCACTTTGGTGCATGAAGCTCAACTCAACTGTTTTTACACCCCTCCTGGAGGTAAGAAACCCAAAAATGGAGTAAAGAATAAAGAACATGTTGAAATTTACTCTAAAATACTTTAATGATGCCTAGAATGTGTGAGTCCCCCACGCTAAGGACTCGTCTTTTTGGCAGTCCTCTTCATATTTAATATAGGATCTTTAACAGAACGGTTGTGAAAGTGTGCCTAAAATTGCACTGCCCTGGTTTATGTCATGATTTGGAAATTCTCAGTTGGAAAAAAAGAAAACCAGTGTTTGGGGCAACAGGCAATGCAACATTGCCTCTACTTGTCTGCTAAAACACCAATCTTCTACTTGCCTTTCAATTAAGCAAGAAAGATTAAGGAAAGCAAAATTTCCATATTAGATTTCATGTTTGATGAGAGAGAGTAAGCTGATTATTTCATAATGATATTTTCTTCCTTTTTAATTTCTTCAGCAGAAAAATCTAAATCTGATCAAATTAAAGAGGCTACTTAAGAGGTCATTAGAGACAATATCAAATATCCTTAAATGCACATCCATTTAGAACCCCTTTTGCTTATTAGTATGTGCATTGTTCATTCTGGACATTCTTTGGGAATTTACTTCATTTAGTTTATGTCCTAGTAAATATTTCTATACAATCTGTTTTTTTAAAAGACATTTATCATTTGTTTTATATTTTACCCAAATATCTTTTAATTCCAAATCACAAATGGTAGCTTACAACCTTTTAACAAGGATTCGTGCTAATATTTGTGCAAGTTTAAAATAAGGCATATTTCCATATAGGTAGTAGTAAGTAGATAATAAATAATTACATAGGTAAAGTTTAAACAGGCAGAATAAGAATATCTGATGTGTTAATGCTCTTCTCTCTCTAAATTGCAAATTTCTCTCAAAATGATAGGAAAATATATTTTTCTTGGTCAGTATGTAGCAAGAAATAATTTAAATTCTCTTTTTACTAGGAAAGTCATGAAACAGTGACAGTGTAAATTATACAGATCTCTTCTGTGCATTTAATGAAAAATCAAAAATTTAAAAATTCCTTCAAACCCCATTCCTTTCATGAAGTCTTTCTCAAATGAGTGGACTGATAATCCCAATGTAAGGACCAAGAACATTTAACCATGTATTTGGTGTAAACAATATTTCTTATTCACTATACCATTGACCAGGTTTTTTAAGTTTGACTACATTGTTGACTTGTTACTGGCATCTGGTAGTTAGCCCACACACTCAGCTATTACTCTTGGGAAAGATCACAAGATAGTTAACAAATTGAAAAGTTAGAACTATGAAACTTTAGAGTTGGAAGTAAGCTAAGAAGTGTGGACTTCAATCACCCATTTCGCTAATGAGTAATATTTGGTCTAACAAGGCTAACTGACTTAGCCAAAGTCATTTTTCTTGGTTCAAATTCCTTTCTCTAAAAAATGCCACTCTCCATTCTTACAAATGAAATGAAAAAGTATTAAAACAATGTTTATGTTTGATTGATTTGTAGGCTTGGTTATGTAAGTTTATGTGGATTTTCAAAAGGAAAAAAGATGGAAGGAAGGGAGAAAGGGAGGAATGTTGAGTGGAGGAGAGAGAGAGGAAAGAAACAAAAGGGAATTGAGATTTCTAGTACTGGCTGTATTTTTACGGCAGAAAATGCTCGAACAACAATCACGTTGCCTGG